ATAATTCAATGCCCTAAAATAATTATTTACAAGATGGTAATAGGCTTAATAACGAGGGTAAGTAACACTTGATAAATATCTATTTTAAACACGTAAAGTTGATGAACACGAACAAAAACGAACGTTTTCAACACCCCGCTGTTGACAACTGTCAAAAATTTCCACCGTTGCCAAATGTCCCCAGTAACCCCTGTGTCCCAAGTAGGTAACCCCGTTTGACGGTAGGTACCTAATCTGATGTGTACCACAATTTGACAGAAACTCGGATGATTTGAATAGATAGGTACAACAAATTGTACCAGCAACATCTTTATCGCACAATAATATGAAAAATACAATATAAATATTAGAGAATGAAAAATAGGAATGATTAATTATGTCATTGAAGTTTCAAATTTTCAAAATCCAATCCAAATTTGGGGTATGTTCCTTGTTATTTTCTCTTCTTTTTTTTACGGTTTTTGCTTTGGGCTCATATATCTACAATGCTGCCAAAATTATTCAACCATACGTCGTTTAAATTCGTATTTTGTCGTGTGACACTAGTAAAACGAAACGAAAGCGAAGCGAAGACCTTAAAAAATGTCAACATAAATCGACTTCGCTATGGTTTAGCTTAGAGCTTCCGCTTAGTTTCGCAATATAAACGAAAATTACAGAATTCCCTAGCAGATCGTTTTTATATGTTTCCTCAAGTTGCAGCGCTTTTGTTTTTATTTCTGTCAGATAATATGATAAAGGACCCCCGCACACTTTTTATGGGATTTCTGACCGTGGTCAAATTCAACCAAATTTTCCTATTTCCTATAATTAGTTTTTGAGATACAGGGTGTTCAATGTGTGAACAACATGCAATATGCATTATGACACCTCAAATTCATTTTCTATAAATATTACTACTTTTAAATTTTAATACAATTATTGATAATTTTATCATTAATTATACTATACAGGCTGTACCAAACAACCGGTTAGAAATGCAGGAACTATTATAACTAAAAATAGGAATAGTATATACTACCTATCTATTTACAGTTGTTCACAAAAAATTTAATTATATGAAAAACTATTCGAGTATGTTATGTCTGTGTCTGTTTGCAGCATCTTGCACAAAGACTATACCATTTCCACCATTATTTTACACTAGTGAAATTTGATTTCAAATTAATGAAAACTAAATTCATATCAGTGAAATCTAATTTCGCTCGAATGAAAATTGATTTCAAAGTAACGAAAACTAATTTCTCACAAACGAAATTTGATTTAACATTTTTGAAAATGACTTTCAAACTGACCCTAATTAATACTTTTTTTTTCAAACATTTATTATTTCAATTTGAAAAAAACATCAACAACGTTATTTATTTCAACCTAATGAAATAAACCAACTGAGTTTAGAAAACTGTGGTTTAGATAACATAAAATACAATCATGAAACAATAATAATAATTATGAATTATTTATCTAGGAAGCGTCATGTCAAAAATTTGACATCTGGTTTTTTGAGAAATAGTACACAAAATAGAACTTGAACGCTTGCTGCATTCTGAAAAAAACAATAATTTTCAGTCCTGGAAATCCTGGAATGCTTATCCAAATAGGTCTAAAGTACGACAACTGAGTGAACCTGTGTGGAAGGAACGCGAGCAAAACCCTCTTGATTGGCGCGAGATAAAATATACATATACGCGGGTCGTTGCGTCAGGGTCGAGGACCCGTCGCGTCGTATAGTATAGGTTTTCGTCTTCCCCTCTGCTACTTCATACGTTACCAAGGTTCACCCACTTGTCGCACTTTACATACAGCTAGTACAAATGAACCGCAGCTTCTATTGCTTGGTTAGATTACAGACGTTCTAAATCACATCATTTGGGTAATAATATGACACATTCTTTTGTAAAAACAGTATCATGTGAGGCCAATTGAACATTTTTCATATATGATAAAAAAAAAATTGTAACTAGAAATCTAGCAAAGATATTATTCTGTACTTGCTCTGTAGCTTTCTCAATACATAAATGTCTGTGTAAAAATTATATTCGCTCCATTCACCTTATAAACAAGTGTTTAAACTAGTTAAGTTCCAGCCTCAAAGTTATAACGTGACATATGAAATATGTGGTTGGCCATTTTTCGACATATAACGAGTTGCTAGGAACCCTCGCAATAATTTTTGATTTGCATTACAGATATATTTTTTAATAATATTGTAATTTTTGAAAATATGATTCAATATTAAGTAATAAGGGGCACTGGCCCTATTAGGTACATGGCCTTATTTGGGTCAGGTACCTTAGTTATTGATCAGAAAGGTCAGATCTATAGAATACTAAAATTTGATTAAATTTGACCGCGGTCAGAAATCCCATGAGAAGTGTGCGGGGTCCTCTATACAAAAATCCAGTTCCAAAGATCAAAATTTTGTCACATTATGTATAGGAAGTTGAGTTTTTGTCCTTTTGCTGTCTGATTTTCTGATTCTTTTCCTCTTATTTTTCTTGGGAATTTTTTGAAATTTTTTGCCCCCTTTGACTTTTCGCCCCTGGGCGATCGCCCAGTTCCGCCTTATGGTTAATCCGGCCCTGAGTGATATCAACAGTTCGACTCCTCTTCAATCAATGCTGATGATCTGAAAGATGTTCAAAACAATAGCTACCTCAGTTGATTGTTTGGCGCTTCGAAGGGACTTTATTAACAATTAGTATCGTTAACTGGTGCCTAATATAGGTATACTATGGTAAAATATACACTTATGAGATTCTTAATCGATTCAAGATCTGGAAGAACTTTTGCTGAAACTCAATTGGAATATCCGTCACCTGCATGGAAACCCCACTACCATAATATGGTAGTGGGGTTCAACCATACGCATATTATGCGTATGGTTGAACGTGTGCAAAGAAATTTTTATCATTAATTAGGTACATTTTCTTGATATTTTTTCAAGAACTAACTGATTCTGAAACTCGAACCTTCTAGATTAGTTTGATAGCCTGGATCTTTCTTGCTCTAAAAATGGTGAGGAAAATATGTTCTTGAAGCATTTCTCCCACGTGGTAAATTAGTATTTATAACTATCCAAATGTACAACTTATCATATAATCTTTATTTATAATTGTATTTATATATTGTTATCATTAAATTGCCTCGGGAGCCCGGCCAGGTTTTTCCAGTTAAATCCCGAGTACACTGTCTGTTGCAGCTTAATTCAATTCGAATAAATAATTTAATCTCATTTATCCTTAAAAAGTGCGGGAAAAATCAGTGTTCGCCACCATAAATAAACCAAGGCATTAGCACAGTTTATACCGTACCGATACAGTTGTTCAGCTCCGTTGACAAACCATTGATTTTTTTGAAGCCAAATTCTATGTCCCTATATTTCGCGCTTGCGCATTGATCGGAAACAACGAATCCTGGGCCGTGGACAGAGTCGGACTAGGATTTTTTGTGGATTAACATTGAGAATATAACGGGATCATATTATAATTTCGAAACAAATAACTAACTACTATGAAATATGTAAATATAAATACTTACAGTCGTTCATCGTTCGGGAAACTAAAATATCCTAAGCCTGGGCTAGTTCTAGTGTTGTTTTTACAGACAAAACAGGAAGTAACCATGATAATACACAATATATAAACGATAAAACAGTCAAGTACACAAAAATCGTGAATAACACGGAAAGCAAAACACTCTTAACAAAGCCGATTTTCAAATTGATGAATTTTCCGGTTACTTTTCAATTTCCTGAATAATTTCAGTCAAAAAACTTCTCTTCTTTTTTTGTAATACAATCCTGTTGCGTGTCTCGTTCGACAGTTATTTCTCGCGGTTTCTCACCCAAGCTATCTCTATCTCTTTTTTGCGTGCAGGATTGGAAAGAGACATGTATATGCCGAACTGCTTTTTCAATTTGAGAGATTTGTTCACTCATTGAGCGCATGCGCAAGATATGGGTCAAAATGCTCCTATTGGTTGGAGAATTTGGCCTCAAAAAATATGGAGAGTTGTACAACTGTATCGGTACGGTATAAACTGTGGCATTAGTAACAGTGCTGTCACGCACTTGGAGAGGATCCGAGAGAGCCGAGCAAGGAATGACAGTGAGAAGGATGACAGACAGAACGTCTTTTTTGAACCTTTGACAAAGTGACAAAAAGTGATCGGTCAGATTATTAAAACTCAAAATTCTATCCAATAATTCAGCCCCCAGCCAGTAATCAGGCAGTTAGAAAAAGCTGAATACATTTTTTTTTTCAACATTTTTTGTCTTTTAATACAGTTCACTACGTTTTCGTGCAAGACTATCATGTCCTTATCGAAGAAACCAAGTTCATTTCAGATTTTGATGCAGACCTCTGAACCAGTCTTTAAGGGCCGAATTTATAGTCGTTCCTTAACTCTTCCTTGAACGTTGTGAGATTAGAATGGACACTTGCTACAATTTGACAAGTTACAATCATGTCAATTCTAAACGTTCAAGGCTTCCTTAAGGTCTGAGGGAACCTCAAGGAGCGACTATAAATTCGGCCCTAAGTAGCTTAAGTAAGCCAGTTTTAAGTCGCTTTTTGTCGTGTAGGTTTCGATCAGTGAATTTTCTTCAAAGTCAAAAGGTTTAATAAAAGTTGCTACTGTTTGTGAAGTAAGTTCCGGTGAACCCGGAATCCGCGACGATATTTTTACTCAACACCAATGTTTATTTCGAAAAAAAATTGCTTCTAGGAATTAAGATTGTAATTAGGTATAGTTTAAGTTTACTTTGTAAATGGATATTCTCCGTCTGCCGTTTGAATAAATGAATAAATAAATAAACCATTTTTTGAACTTGGACTGTCCCGAAACTTAAGACCAATTAAATTTTTGCGTGTTAAAACTTCAAATTAATGCAGTGAAGAGCAATAAGGCAGTCCCTGAAAGAATATGAAAGAAGTTGCAGGCAGGATTATTGAAAAAGATCTGCGAAACTAATGTTCTTAAATAAAACAATAAATAATTTATTTAAGAGATATATTTCTATAAATTTCTCAATGCCTACTAGGAATAGTTCTTGAAAAGGGTGCGAAATACAAGGAAAGAGTCCTGAAAACTTATAAATAGTAAGTAAACTTTTTTAGTGCATTTTAGGATGAGTTTTCAATTCTTTAAAATCTATTCTATACTTTAGTATAGGTACCTACCTAAGACAAATTCAAATTTTTGAGAAAATATCTAAACAAGCAGTAATTATTGGCAAATGTATCATCATCGAAAAAATAACTTGTAAAATTGTAGCTTGAAACCCTGTAAAAATGGAACGGATTTATGAAGAATACAGAATAGTTTGTTTAAAAGTAGGCATACATCAATAACTCACTATATCGTTAACATATTATAAGGCCATAAACTTACTTTTAGTATTTCGTAGTTTATCACAAGTAGCGTTAATATTAATAACAATTTTATATACAACTTTTTCGATGGAAAATCCATTAGTATAATAAATAATGAAATGGCATTCCATTCATTCAAATAATTATTTTTGTTTGCAGCAAATCCATCAGGGACATTCGAATAGTCCTTTCCTTTCTACTTTTTCATAAATATATTAAAATATTATCCTATAGTGTAAATAAATATTATGGCTGTTTATATTTATTTACGAAAATAAGCCTTTAGGCTGCCTAAAACAAAATGTAGGCGTTTGACAAGGGCAATTTACTGTTGACCTTTCCGTCAAGGGTCTTTTGATTGGTCTCATATATTTGTGGCGCTATTTAATTTTAGGCAATAGTAAATTAGACCCAATTATTTTTAACAACTAATATTAACATCATAACCAAACCTAGAGTATAAATCGAATGCTTATCAATGTTACGTCCGTTCATCGCACCATTATACTTAAACGAATATTCGCAAAGAAAATTTGTTACCTGAAATGAGGTGCGTAATACTGCTTACCTTCGATATAGATTTTACAGAGCAAAAAGTCTGCCACACGGAAGATAAAGGCCTGAAGTGGGAGAGGGAGCAAATGCATTGTTTCGATTTCGGTCCTTATTATTAAAGTCTATTATTATCTTCCGCGTAGCGAACTTTACATTCCAAACTAGTATTTATTTTTATATATAACAAAATTCTCTCTCTATAAATAATACAGGATGGAAATGTTTGGTCTATTATGCACCATCCTGTAAACTGTGAACGTGTGCTCTGTTATTTATAGTGTAAATATATTATTTCTCAAAATCACAAATTATTTGGCAAAGTATCACTATTATTATATTGCATATTTTTAAATAAATATTTAGATACTTTTTAATAGTATCTTTTAGTTATATATTCCTTATTTATATTTAAATTTTATATAAGCTCCTATTATTTGATTGTTAGTAGGTAATTTCTGTTAATTTACTTTTTTGTTTTATTTTTTTTTCTAACAAATAACTTAGGACCTCAACTATACTTACACAGCCTCCAAACTATCATTACCAGCAAAAGTCGAGTTCCTTTCGGTACAGTAGATCATCGCGTCACCGTGACTGCATTGATTCACTTGCTCCAAGTCCATAAATAGAAAAACAACGCCCAACGTGGCGACGGTTAGTCCAAAAAATGCCACTCCCAAAGCTGGAATTTTTTCCCTACAAAATATTACTCCTTCTTCGAGGCGCAGATAACAGAGGGCTGGTAGGACATAGGCCAACGGTACTGCTGCCAAAACACCCTAATAAACAAACGGAAAAAAAAAATGTTCATATAATTTGAAACTTGTTGGTAAGTTTTTAATGTGAATCCTTTTCATATTATGTACCTAATGGCACTTAAAGACTAAAAGTAACGTAACTTTAAAATCAAAAAGGCTAATTTAGAACCAAATGAAGAAAGCATTAGATCATAAGTCTTATTTTCCCCCTCGACACTACCTAAAGTTTATAGAAGTGACTAATGACAATAATCCTTATTCAGTTCTGCAGTTAGCTTACATGACGTAATTGATTCAAAAGACAAGCCATTGTGCGGCTCCACAGCATGAATTTTGAAGCAGACTGACTTTTACCTAGACAGAATACACTTCCTAAATTTAAAATCCGCAATATTCCTCATTATGACTCAGACTTGGGTTAGGTTTGTGGTTTTTCTCAATCTTATTAATGAATACAGAGGATCAGCAAATATATCGGTGAAAAAGTGCCAGTTATATTAACCAATTGCCACGGTGATTTATAATGAAATATCCATTTTTTTATATGCTTTAATGTGCTTACCCCTTTCCGCTATGACTTTTTATACATTGTTGTAAAGTAAACATCAAATTGCTATATCGGCATTTCTTAGAAACCAAAACCAATATATTGCTGATGATGATTTTTTGAAGATAAGCTTTTTAAAAAAATTAAAAAATAAGAAAACGAACAAAATATATGGTGAGTGTTCACCGGAACTCTTTCGTAAATTTATGGATTATGGAAAGGTGTATTTGCAGTGGGGAGTATACCGTGTATATGAAGACCTAAGCATCATCAGGTGCTTCAAATGTCAGGGTCATTATCACAAAAACACCGACTGTCCAAATGAAATCATTTGTGAATACTGTGCTGGCACTCATGATGTTCGCGAATGTCCCAAATCTTCCAAAAAATGTATAAACTGTGATAAGGCTAACCAAAGATATAAGACTTCCTATGACATTTACCATGAAGCCAGCAATGCTGAATGCCCATCTTACATGCATCTGTTAGAAATTCTAAAGAGTAAAATTGATTATGGACAATCCTGATGGCGGTACTGGGGTATGATAAGAGTGTTTCTAATCAGTCTTTTTTAACCATTGCTAATCTAAATGTAAGATCTCTATTACCTAGTTTTGTAAGTTTTCGTGATTTGATAGGAAATTCATATGATATTGTTTGTGTAACAGAAACATGGCTTAATCCTCCTATTACGTCTAAATTAGTGTCACTGCCTGATTTTGCTTTTTGTAGAGAGGATAGAAGGGGTAGAGTCGGTAGTGGTCTTGGCGTATTTCTTAGATCTACCATTTCTCATGAAATTGTAAGTATTAATTTGAACAAAGTGAGCTTTGAGGGTATGCTTCTGAGCCTGAGGGTTGGTACTTACAAAATTGCTTTGTTGATTGTGTATAGACCCCCGAATACTAGACTGACAGAAATTATTGATTTCCTTGAGGGCATTATCCCCCAATTGTTGTCTGATTATGATTTTTCTATTATTACAGGAGATCTTAATGTTGATATGCTTAAACCTAACTCTTTGTTTGACATCCTTTACACTTACGGGTATTCTCAGTTAATAGATGAACCAACTCGCATTACAAACACATCATGTACATGTTTAGATCCAATTTTTATTAATTCCAAAGATGTTTGTCTGAATAGTGGTACTGTCCCTTCAGATATTAGCGATCACAATAAAATGTCTGTATGCTCTTTAAGCATAGTAGTTAAGAAACCAAAGCAAAAATTTATTGAGCTACGCGATTTTAAAAACTTTGATCTGCGTGAGTTTCAAGCGAATTTAACGTGTATTCCTTGGAACAATATTTTTCATATCCTTAACTTAAATGACAAAGTTTGCTTTTTAGAACAAAACATTATTAATTTATTTAATATCCATGCTCCTTGTAGGATCATCAGGGTTAGCAAAAAACCTGCTCCCTGGTTGACTGACACCTTGAAAATAATTTTAAAACAGAGGGACAAGGCCCTTGCCAAATATAGAAATAATAAAACCCAAGAAAACTGGAATTACTATAAGGAAGCACGTAACTTTGCGCTGGCTTCCATTCGAAGGGAAAAAGCAGCCTATCTTGAACACTTGCAAAGGAGTAAAAATGAGAAAAAATTCTGGCGTGGTCTGAGCGATCTAAACATCAAAACTTCTACAGGTAATGAAAATGAGCTGCCGCCGAACTTGCAAGACCCAAATGTCATAAATGACTATTTTGTGAGTATATTTAACAAGTCTGACAACTGCATCGACCAAATTAATTACTTCTCAGGCAATAGATTCTCAGAAAGTGTTTTTGCTTTTCCTTTGACTGACAGAGAAACTGTTCATAGTGTGGTTGACGGCATCAAGTCCAATGCTGCCGGATGTGACAATATCTCACTTCGAATGCTACAGCTCTGTATGCCCTATATTCTCGATCACCTAACCCATATTATTAACTGTTGTTTGGAGATGGGCTATTTTCCTGAATCCTGGCGCAAGTCAATCGTCTGTCCCATACCTAAAACACCGCATCCAAAATGTGTTCAGGAACTTCGCCCCATAAGTTTACTACCTGTGATTTCTAAGGTATTGGAGAGGGTTATTCATACTCAGTTATGCAGCTATCTTATTGAAAACCATATTTTGCCCGAACAACAGTCTGGGTTTAGGAGAAATCACAGTACAGCGACAGCTCTTCTAAATATCACAGATAATATAATACGTGCGATGGATAAAAAGCTTGCCGTTGTGTTAATAGCGTTGGATTACTCCAAGGCTTTTGACGTCATTGATCACGACCTGCTGTTGGCTAAGTTACATTACTATGGCTGTGATGAAATTAGTATGTCTCTTTTTATGTCTTACCTCTCGGAACGTGCTCAATGTGTTCGGGTCAACAATGAACAGTCTGATTACAAATCCATTATCTCAGGTGTGCCCCAGGGCTCTATACTTGGGCCGCTTTTATTTTTAATTTATACCTCCGATCTACCCAAAATAGTTAATCATTCTGACACTTTTCTATACGCCGATGATACTCAGATTGTCCACTGTTTTGACCCTGATGATGTACGGCTGGCCTCGGAGTCGCTTACTGCTGATTTGCGGCAAATATCGCGTATTCCAGAGAACATAATTTGCAAATAAATGCAAGTAAGACTAAAGCTGTTCTATTCGCGAACCGAAATCGGCGTGCTCAGGTTGCAGAATCTCTTGTACTAGAGTTAGATGGTGCAAATCTTACCTTTTCTAACGACCTTAGAAGTCTTGGTTTGAACATCGATACCTTTCTTAGATTTGGGGGGCATGTTGGTATGATTTTGCAGAAGTGCTACTTACGTATGCGTATGCTCTATGCAAACAAAAGTGTTTTAAATTATAAAACTAGGAAAAAACTTTGTGAATCACTTGTTTTGTCAATTATTGACTATTGCATGATTGTGTATTATCCTTGCTTAGATGGAGTTGCCAAGTGCCGTTTGCAGAGAGTACAGAATACATGCTGCCGTTTTATATGTAACTTAAGAAAATTCGACCATGTGTCGCAACATATTTATGACTTAAATTGGCTAAAGATCTTTGGTTTATTTAGACTGCAGTATCTGACTTTTTTGTATCGCTTACTTAAAACTCATCAGCCTAACTACCTTCACGAGAAATTGATTTTCAGAAACTTAATACATGATCGTCCTCTAAGATTTAATCTGCTTACGATGCCACACCACTCTACTGCCCTATTCGAACGATCTTTCACATATAACGCTGTAAGTCTTTACAATAAATATAAACCTGATTTATTGACTTTGTCTCTTAATTCATTAAGAAAAATGATAAAAACTATGCTAATGGAAGCACAGGTTGCGTAGTGATGCTGGGATGTTTTTTGTTTTGATTCTTTTGTTTCATTTATTCATATTATTTTATTACTGTTTTGTTTCGATATTTATTTCCAAATTATATCTTTAAGCACTGGCATAGAATTTTCTCCTTCTCTTTTTTTTTTTTTTTTCCTTTTTTGCATAAGATGTTAAATTAAATGTTATTTTATTTATATATTTGTTCTTATAATGTAAACTAAGAAGGTTAAGAGTTAAAGAATAGCTTAAAGCTAATTAATCTTCGCCTTCTTGGGGCAAATTTTTGTAAAGAATTTGCTGAATAAAGACGATTTATTATTATTATTATTATATAAATTCTTATTTAAGCCAGCGCAGTCCCATTAGGAACGTTCATTTGTTTTCAGGCTTTTGCTGTAACAATTTGATCCGAATATTTTCTTTTGTCACCTCTTAATTTTAATCAATAAAATAAATGTTTTTCAAAATACAAGTTTCTGAATCGAAAATATAATTGGCGCAGTCTTTCGGATGCTTAAAGTGCTTAAATTTCGGGAGACTTCTTCGGGAAAGTGAAATTTGGATTATCAGTGCTGCTATTAAACGTTCCAGATACTGTCCACTTCGAATTGGTTAACTGAGTAAAAGGAATAACAAGAAACAACGTGTGAATAAAGACTAATGTTATTAGCATCGTGCCTAGTAAGTACATCCTTTATCTTTATACATTTTGTAATTGGTGTTCCATAGTTAAGATTTTTGAATTTTTGATCTTTTGTAATTTCTAATTTTTGATTTACTGAGAAGACTTAAATTCAGATTTTTGTTCTTTTGCAATTCCAAAAAGGTTTGCTGAAAAGACTGAAATCAAAAATAAAGAGTAACAAAGAATGTACAAACCCACAACAACATATAATTTTAAAGAAAAGCAACGCTTAAGACTGAGTAATTAATTATTATTTTAATTTTAATAAAACTTTTTAATTTCGAATTTTTAAATTTTTAAAATAATTTCTTTCAACAATTCAAAGAAATATATATTATGTCAGATTCTGAAGAAGAAATCGAGAATCTTTTGATTCAATTTAATTTAACTCATCTTTACAATTCTAATTCGAGAAGTAATAACCAAAATCAAAGACTAACTGTAACAATG